TTTCGTTCTTCTCCAGAGCCTGCATTTCATCTTTCATGGCATTTCTCCAATTTTTATCAGATAAGGCCTCAAAAACATCTTTAGGAATACGGATATCTTCTAATGAAACAAGAAAATTTTGGTGTGACGATGAAAAATTGTTGAAAGATATAGAGTTGTTTATAGGGTATAAGGGAGGTGGTGAGCTTACCTTATTTCCAGGAGATGGTTCAGATTCTTGGATCTGCTTTGGAGTACAGCTTGAGCTTGTACGTCTGGAGTAAACCTTTCCAAATCTAATAACGTTGTCATGGGTTTCAGGTGGATTATTTTGAGGTGGTGGAGGAATGTCAAGAGGTGCTAGTTCAATTTCCTCATCTTCCTCAAGTTCAGTCTCCCCCTGAAGATGAGTTTTTGAGAAATAGGAATTTTTCTCATCAAAGGTAACATCAATAGAAACAAAGGTTTTTCTTGTGGGAGGATGATAACACTTATAACCTTTTTGGGTTGCTGAATAACCAACAAAGATGCATTTGAGTGCTCTTGGATCTAATTTTCCTCGCTCATGGCTGTGGATATGAACATAGGCAGTGCATCCAAAGACTTTGGGTGCAATATTATGATGGGTTCGAAACTCTGGGTAAAAAGAGGACAAGGTCTCCATTGGAGATTTGAGGCCTAAAGCAGTTGAAGGTAATCGGTTTATGAGATAGGTTGCAGTTAAAAGAGCTTCCCCCCAATAGGATTTGGGTGTATTGTAGTGAAATAGGAAGGCTCGAGTGGTGGCTAGAAGGTGACCATTTTTCCTCTCTGCAACCCCATTTTGTTGTGGGGTGTGAACACATGAGGACTCATGGATGATCCCTTCATTCTGGAAGTATGAGAAAAGGGTTTGGTTGAAATAATCTTTGGCATTATCAGAGCGGAATCTCCGTATTTTTACCCCAAATTGATTTTGGATCATGGAATGAAAGACGGGAAGAATGGTGCTAACATCAGATTTATTTTTAAGGAGATAGATCCAAGAGACTCTAGTGCAATCATCAATAAAAGACACAAACCAGCGTGCCCCGGAGATATTGGGGATTTTTGAGGGTCCCCATATATCACTATGAATAAGGTAGAAAGGAGTGTTACATCTCTCACTTTTGTTTGGGAATGAGGTTCTTTTATGTTTAGCTAACTCACAAGTTTCACAATGAAAATTTTTAGTTTCTATTTTCTGAAACAGTTGTGGATACATATGTCTTAGGATATCAAAAGACGGATGTCCTAGTCTATAATGATGAAGCCAAATAGTGGAATTCCTATCTACTAGGGATAACATGGAGTAATTATTACTAAATTGGTTTGGTTCTTCCAGGTAGTACAATCCAGCTTTCTCCTTAGCAAGTCCAATCTTCTTCCCCGATCTCTGGTCCTGAAATAAGCAATAAGTAGGGTTAAATAAGGCTTGACAATTATGATCATTGGTAAGTTTTTGTATTGATATTAGATTTGTGGATAATTGTGGTACGTGGAGGACGTTTTTCAGGGTGAGTAAGGGAGATAATATGATGTCTCCTTGACCAGCTACCGTGGTAAGAGAACCATCAGCAGTGATGATTTTCTTATTGTTTGGGCAAGGAGTGTAGTTTATGAGGTGGGTAGATGAGTGGGTCATGTGATCTGTGGCTCCTGAATCAATTATCCATAATTCCTTTAGATGATTTCTAGAAGCACTTAAACTGAAAGAAATTGGAGTCTTACCTGAGAGTGCAAGTGAAGAAGAAGCATTTGGTTTTTCAAGAGATACCAGGAGTTGTTTTAATTTGTCAATATCTTCTTTGTTGAATTCTCCAAGATTGGACCGTGCTTCTGGCTTACTTGTAGTGTTGTTGGCATGTGATGTACCCCTTGTTTCACCCTTTTGATTCCACTCCTTGCTGGGGGGTTTACCATGTATTTTCCAGCACGTTTCCTTTGTGTGTCTTGACTTTTTGCAATAGCTGCACCAAAGTGAGTCATTGTCTTTGAACTTTGAAGGATCTTTTCCCTTCTCCTTCCATGACGATTCTTTGTTCATCACCATTGCTGAGCTTTCAACTGTCTTTGGTTCTAACATTACTCCTCGTCGACTTTCTTCTGCGCGAATGAGAGAAATGGTTTCGTTGAGTGATGGCGTCTCTTCCTTGCCGAGGATCTGAACTCTAACTTGGTCAAATTCTGCATTAAGACCTGCAAGAAAATCATAAACTCTATCTTTTTCAATGAAGTTCTTTAGGATCGCAGCATCCTCCGGACATCTGGTTTCAATGCACCTATAGTGATCAAGTTCTTGCCACAGATTTTGTAGAATGGTGGCATATTCCGTCACCGTCTTACTCCCCTGCTTCGTGCTTCCAACTTTGACTTTAACTTCAAAGATTTGGGCCGCATCACGAGCTTTCGAGTAGGTTTGTCTGGCAGCATCCCATATGTCCTTTGCTGTCGAAAGGAACATAAAAGTATCACTTATTTCTGGAGTCATGGAATTCCACAACCATGACATAATCATGGAGTCTGCTTCATCCCATGCCCCAAATTTGGGATCTCCTTCTTTCGGTCCTCCTCCAAGGAGATGATGTATTTTACCTTTCCCCTTCAAGTAGGTCTTCACAAATTGAGACCACTTCAGGTAGTTCTTCCCATTTAGACGATAGGAAGGTTGTATGCTTTGAAGGTCACCTCGTCCTTGGTGCACCATCGACTCCTCATTTTGCTCAACGCTTTGGGAGGAGTTAATTTCTGACATTTGGAAAGCAATTAAGGCTTCCTAGAATTTTTCTCGAAAGATAATTTTTTTTTTTTTTTTCTAGAGCCTTGTCGGTTTAAATAACCGAGTGGGCCAAGTCTTAAAACAAGACTTGGATCGGGTGGCTAGGGTATGTGCAGAGTTGGTTCTTCTGCACGATTCAGGCCTTTAAGTCGACAATAAAGGTTGATATCAAAACAAACCGGTCACGCCTTAAAAGAAGGCTCGGGTTGGACTTAGGGCACGGCACCCGGTTCCACCCCCAAGTCGCACGTAAGCGCAGCTTCTTCCCGCGAATCGCAGGCGTGGATCGGTCTTCCTATCGACTTCGGCTGGGTCGTGCGATCGGAAGGAAGGATCGAGCGGGGTGCTTCGCTCCTTCGACGATCTTCCCTCCCTGTTAGATCGGGATGCTCGCCGTCCACTCCTTCGTCCGCCGGCTCGGACGTTCGAACGATCCTTCTCTGGATACACTCGGACGTTCGGCTCTTAGCGGGAGTCTCGACGACTTTGGCCTTCCATTTCTGAAGAAGACTATCTCAAAGTGAATGATCAACTTGAGGATTTTTATTTGAAGAAGGGAATGTTTGGATTTAGAGCAGCACAAGCATGCTACAAAACACGATCTCCTAGTATGTTTGTAGTTTGTGTATTTATAATTTTAATGTTAATATTTATGTTCAACTCTTGTACTTCAACCAATATTCATAAAATATTATGTTTGTCTTCATGTAGAATGTTGGTGGGCTCAGTTTGGAGATGATGTTCCTGAATTGAAAGCTTTTGCAGTTAAAGTTCTTAGCCTAACGTGTTCGGCTTCTGCATGTGAGCGTAATTGGAGTATCTTCAATCAAATTCATACAAAGAGAAGAAATTGATTGGCGGCAGATCGAATGAACAAACTAGTTTATGTTATGTTTAACAAAAAACTGAAAGATAGACATCTTAAAATTCAAAATCAAGGAAATATTGAGAATGGAATTGACCCTTTGCTTGTTGATGAGTTACAATCTGATGATGAATGGGTTACTCCTAAGAATGCTGATGTATCTGAAGTTGAAGCAGAAGGAGAAAGTCATGTCAATGAAGAAGACAATGAAGCAACTACTCAAATATATAAAAGAAAGAAATAAAGTGAGATTGGAGCTTCAAAAAAATTTAAAGGTATTCTTAAATATAATGAATTATTTTGTATGTTACTATTGTTTCATTTTAGAGCTAATGAAATATTAACTGATATAGGAGCTAAAGGAAAAAAATATTATAGATGAAGAAGAGTTGGAGGATGACTTTGACATTAATTATGAAGATTCTTCTGAAGATAATCAAAGTGATGATGAGCCTGTTTTGGGTCTTGATCCTAAGGGGATGTTTTATTTTTAAGTGAGTTTATTTTAAATCTTGTATTACAGTAATATTATCTTAAAATAAATCTTTAAATTCATAGTTGACATAATATTCTGTTATTTTTTGTCATTATTTATAAATTTTAATTAATTTATTTTAATCGTTTTGAGGCTTACGCCTCGCCTCGCTTAGAAAAAATGCCTCGATTCTCGATTTCGCCTTTTAGAACGTTGATATATATATATATATATGCTAATTGATTATTAGGAATTGGAATTTGTTATTGCAACAATACATAACATGGATTTTGATTAAGCTATAATCCTTTTTTAGGAATACATCTTGGTAAGAAATTCTTCGTTCTGTATGGTCATAATCATAGGCCCAACTTCACTTGCTGTAGAAGCTAGATCGTAACTATTTACCTAGGAGCTTCTTTCTGGATTAGATTGAGCTTGTTCCTCTTCAGAAAAAGAATCATATTTTTATGTTCAATCTATGTAATTATTAGCTGATGTTTCTTCTATGCAAAACCATGGATAGAGCATTTCTTTCTATTTTTGGTGAGTATCAAAATCATTTAGGGGATTTGATCCCTTGCCGCACCTTTTAAAGCTTTATTAGTTTATTCAATGCCCCACGAGTTACTGTACATTGCAAAAAGCAATTCTTTTATGTATTGGTAAACAAGAGCTTCTCCCCACTCTGATTAGCATTCCCTGTCTGTGCTGATCATTAATTTATGTTGCTAGAGTGTAGCTCTATTTGAGCATTCTGGTTGTACGCAGAATCCCATTGGGTAACTAAGAAAATATTATTAGAAAGTTCTTTGATGATGTTTTTGTGTTACTGTTTGTTGATTCATCTTGTTCTCTGATTTTTCCATATGCTAATGCATTAGGGGTCTCATGGATTTGTGAATACACATAGATGGAGCGATACAGTCGGAGCTTTTATTAATTTAGAAGCATCTGGAACTGGTGGTCTTGGTATGCTTCGAATCAAATGTTGTTTTTTTTTTCATAGGAATATCATTAGCTTTATCCAAGCTATTAGTACTGTCTTTTTGAATTTTCATTATCCATTTGTTTTTGGTGCCTGTCTTCATAAATACCTACTTCGCAAATCATTTAACTTTTATCCATGTTAACTTAGGTCCGCCTATGCTGTTGACTTCCATAATTACTCTGCAAACAATCTATTAAAATTTGACAAAATTGATGAACAATAGTTGTGGTATCACACAAATAAATCCAACATGCCCCGATCTCTATCAAAATTATTGATTTTTGCACAATTTGTGAATTAGACCACATCAATAGATATGGAGTGTCTCATTTATCAAGAAGATATCTCGCAGTTAATTTGATCATACATTAAAGTTGGATGATGACGCTACCTGGTGCAAATTGAGGTTGAAAGGCCGCAACCACAATCAAAATCTCTTGAACCACGCCTGTTCACAAACTGGACTGTGCCGATGCATCTAAAATGATGAAATTACTTTGTAAAGAGGTCCATATTGACATATCTATTGCAAGAAACGAAAATACAAAATGTGCCTATGTGAGTTGATGACAAAATCTTAGATGCACAAGTAAGAAATTGTGCAATAAGTTGATTAACATATTTTTTTATTTAATTATTTTGATTATAAAAAAACATTCATGATTAAATCCTAGTTCAATCACACTTGAATAAGCAGCACCCAAGATGGAAAAAGATTTGAAAATCCTGATGGGCCGAGTTCAAGTGCTTATTCTCACAAAAAGTTTATAATAAAAAAATCATGATTCAAATCCCAAAATGCATTCGTTCTCGTTGTAATTAAAATAAAAAATAAACTATGATTTACTTAAAAAAAAAAGGAAATATAAAATAAAATAAAATAAAAAATAAAGCCCTCCATCCCCTCTACTCTTGCTAGTAATTCCTTTGCCACTTATCCCTTGATCTTAGCTGCTCCTTTCCATCTCCTCTGCATTCCTACCCAAATACATGAAACCATCAATGACAAAAGAAGGAAAGGGGTTGTGATTGGAGTTAACTAATGAAAGCTTTGATGGGATATGTCACGGGTGAAGACGAAGAGGTGTTTGTGAGACTTGTTGGTTAAGTTAAACTCACCTAGCCACCCAATCTCTGTTGTCGCCGACTACCACACCTCGTCTCTAGCACGATCTCATCGATGCACCTTCCTCTCCAATCCATCAACGTCTTGCATATCTTGGCAATGGCCCTCATTTCCCACCTATCTGTTTCTCCCAAGTCATTTATGACAGCAAGTTGGCCACTCTTACCATTGAATATACAAACTCATTGCAGATCAACCTCTAACCTTGATTACATAGGTGTTCCCCATGGAACCTGCCCTACAAAATTACAAACATGTGAAGATAAAATTATGCGGCATTGTGGAATATGTGATAAGATTCAAACAAGTCTTCTATGCTATCAGATTCGTAACACATATGCAAACAGATAGAAGGTGCTCTTCAAATTTCACAATGAAATTTTACATATATTTCAACGACAAATGCTCATGCAAATATTTAAAATATGGATATTTTTAAATCATGTATCATTACAATGTAACTTTAAAATTCAGGTGAAACATCTCAAACAGTGTACAAGTGCATCACACAAATGCATGAAGCACTGCACATGTCATGCAGGCAAACAAAAAAGTTTGCAATCATCTCAAGAAGTGTGCAGCTATCTTGAGAAGTGTGCAATTGCATAAAAAAGTATGCAACAACTTCAAAACACATGTAATTACTTTGATAAGCATGCCATTATTCCAATAATAATGTGCAAATACACAAAATTATGAAAGTTCGTCATGTAGGTGTATTAAAAATCTTACAAGTATACTATGCAAATATATTTCAAAAAGACCAAGTGCATTGTCCAAATGCACCAAGTGCATTGTCCAAAAGCATTAAGTGCAAGCACTATGGGAATGCATTGAAGAATGTGCAAGTGCATAGTCAAATATATCAAAAAGTTTGTAATTGTATTCTGAATTATGAAAATGCTCCACATAAAGTACAAAAAGCTCGCATGACATTTTAAAGAAAAATAAGTTGTTAAAATTAATTCGTCTGCATGTACTCTAACAAAGATTTTGAACACTCGAACTTAATGTATGAGAATCTTGTGCGAATCGAAAGTAAATTTATCTTGTATTCAGTCCAGCTTGAGAATCGTTCAACTATTTTGGAAAAAAAGTGTAGTCATTTTGAAAAATTAGTAAACCCTCTTTTGTAAAATCAACAAAATCAATATGTCCACCTTACTTGTAGGTAGGGTTGTGTGTCACATTTTTTAAGTTTGATCCTCCATATCCCCAAGGCATGAGTTGACAAGATTTACACTTCTTGGTAAATTACTGCAACACTAGCTAAGAAGAAATTTTCAGCTAGCAAGTTTGTAATTAAATATTCAATCCTGATACTCATAATGATATTTTGTCCTACATATACAACTACAAATGTTAATCATAGACCCAATCCTTTGCAAGAAAGCAAGCAAAGTTGACAAAGTAGAAAGCAACAAAATGAAAGCATTCAATACTCCAATAATGAAAATATCGATCGGAGTGGACTTTATTCTTAAAATATCTCTCAAATTTCAAAGCAAATTACTTTGGGCTCAAATTTCTAAAAACATAAAAATTTCAAAAAATTGCAAAAATTAAAATGCGTGAGCAAAATTTATTACTTATAAATTTAAAACAATAATCATTCACTTTTTGCAATTTGTTTGTTGATGGTGATAAATATAAAGAAAAAATTTAGCTCATAAAGAGCCAATATCTTATGAAGCGTATCACTATGTTCATTTACAAACTCTCTCTTATTGAAAAGGATGTAACGTGTGTCCTTCAATCAATGATTTTACTGTCAAATGAAACCATCGGTGATTTTACCATCAATGGTTATGACTAGGGCTCTTTGATTGAGTGATTTTATCTTTAAATGATATCATTAAATTACAATTATGGTCAGAACCTGTAAGTTCTCTAATGACTTAAAAATCATTGAGTAGTGAATTATGTAATGCACTTGATATTACACAAAATGTTTTGTTAGCTAAGATTTTTAAATTTATCTCCTTAAACAAACATTCAACCCATGTCTACATGGTCCCCTTGGGCGATGCAACTCATGGTTGTCAATTATGATCCTTCGATTAGGTTCAGTTGACTAATTTTGCTGATCAAGTAAAATAGAGTCTATTATTATTCAGGATGATGAAATCATGGGACCTTGATTATGTTCATCGTCATTTTTCCCACCATCCTCTTTAGATTTACGGTTGTAGATTTCACAATCCTTAAGTCAAATTTACAGCTACTATACAGTAAGCATTTAGCATCTATCGGTTAGCTTTAATTGAAAGCTCTCTCTTGTCACCACGAAGGATAATTAACCATAAGGTATTGTAGCTATGTGAAACATTGAACCAAATCACAGTCCTCATAAAATGAGACTAGAATCTCTGTGCATTGTCTTATCTACAATCTAATATTCCTTATAAAAATTTGACCCATAACACATAAACCCTCTCAGTAGAGCTGAATATGAATTTTTAGATCCCACATATGCTTCATAATCTTCCAATAATAATTTTACCTACCCAAGTAGAGCTGTATACTTTTTATTCTTTTTTTAATTTCTGAATGATTTCCACATGCAAGCATGATCAGATTGTATTTCTAAGAGCTTTAAGAATTGCGAGCGGTGACATTGTAGATGGTGATGCAGGCTTGATAACTCATGGTTTAGACTTAACCTCTCTTTACAGAGAATCGAGAATTTGGATAGTCATGGTGTCATAGAAAGAGGTGATAGATAAAGTAGAATAAGCCAGAAAGTTGAGATTTTTTTATGATGGATTTAATGAGAACATGAGAGAACAATGTTTTTCTTAACTAAATTTTTTTCCTGCAGTGGATAAATGATTTAGGTAATTGCAAATTACCAGGAACAATTCCCCGAACCAATCAAATTATTGATACATAAAAAATACGAAGAAAAAGATATGAAAACATCACCACTACCTTGTGCATTACATTGAGGTGCTACAAAGCACGTATATTGTCATGCAATCAAACTGTGGGTTTCAGACTTTACAAAAATTGCATATATCTACATTTTTCTGTACTTTACTGTTCTTCTTATAAATTTGGCAAGCAACATAAAATCTTTAAGTCATCCTTGCTTTTCGCTTTCCTTATATGGCTTTGTTCAACAGATTTAGTTTGCCAATCTGGACCTGGCTCTTGGCCTGCCTCTATCTATGCTCAAGCTGCAAAGTATCCCATGGCAAACAGCGTGGCACAGGTTCTATTCTTTAGTATTCTTTTGTTAATCTTTTTTTTATATTGAAGTTCACTTGATGGTTTTTCTATATGAAGTACACTGTAGTGCATATTTTGTTCTGTCATGTGTATTAAGTATTGCTTTAGAAATGTCAAACTTATCAGCCCATATTATTATTTGTGATTATGAAAGTTATTTTTATTGTTCTAATAACATCATTAAATTACATTGCTTCCCATTCTAGTTCATTGCAGGGCTGAGGATGAGCCATACCATACCATGTTAACTCAGTTACATTTAGTTCTTTATTTTATAATTTAGTTTTCAATGGTGCTGCATAGAATCGTTGTGCATTGCAATCTTTGTGCTAGTATGAGCCTAAAGTTCTTTTTCTTTTGGATTAAGTTTCCTTGAACCTAGCTTGTTTTTTTGGGGTTATAAAAATCCATACCTGGTTAAGTACAGTTTTTGATGCGAAGCTTGGATCTCAATGCAACTCAAGAAGCTGAAACGACGCCCTATTTTGACTTAAAAATTAGTTAAAAAAATCATATAAGCTCCAAACAACCTATCCTTTCCTTCCTATCCATATATGCCAGGTAGAAGAGGACGGCTCTGGTGGCTAGGGCAGCGAGGGGAGGTCTTGTCAGACCATTCTCTACAGTCTTGCTTAACATCTCTTCTTTGCGAGTATGTCTTCAATGGCATATATTTGTGGCAAGGTGTGCTCATTATTTTGCAATCCATCAAACAAATTTTTGACATAGCGTATGATCACAGTAAGATGGAATTCTTACAACCTCTTAGACATACCTCTTTTTTTTTTCACCCAAAAAATCCATTTTAGGGCTTATGTGTTAATCATCAAAAAAAGTTACAAGTCCTTCAAGTGATCAAATGCTCGTTGGGCTACAATAAAAAGCCCAAAAAAATCATATCTAGTCAATGATCTCATATAGATTACAAGAATAAACAACAAAAAAGAAATGAGCAGAACAAAAGGGAGGCCAAGAGTTGTCGCCCAAAAATAGACCAAAGCAAAGCCAACTTGGAATACTAAAAAGAACCAAACCCAATTAGTCACACAGATGAAGGAAGGAGGCAACTCGAATAAGACCTACAACAGCTCCACAATACCTACAAAAGAAGGCAATTCAAGAGAAGAAAATCTGTAGGGAGAAATAGAGGTAATTGTTAAGAATGGATAGACCAACAAAGATGAGCAGGATATCAGTCGCCAACCCAAAAAATAGGCCACCAACAGATAGCCACAGGCTCAAACAGGGTGCTCACATAAAGAACATAAATGAGAAAAAGTCAATAGAGGAGCAGGAAAACCAATGTAAATTCGACTCAACCCGAGCCCGAAAAAACCCAGCCAGCAAACCATATGGTAGCCAAAACACTAACAAAGAAAAACCACAAGCCAAAAACTAAGAGATGAAAAAGAAGAAAAATAATAAGCAAACCAAAATATAAGAATGATAATACCAGCAACAGAAAGGTAGTCAAAAGACCATAATTAGCAGCCCAATAACAGAGAAAAGTGCTAAACATAAGAAGTGTGATAAGATAGAAGAAATCGGGTAGAATAAACCAGCCAAAGAGTTGGGGGGCCAAACAACCACTAGCAAATACAAATAGAATAAATAAAAAAGTAGCAGCATAACAAGAGGCAAAACAACCCATATAGCATCTCAACAATAGAAAAGAGCACAAAACAGGAACAAAAATAAACAGATTGTTATTTCTTGATTTAAGGCATACCCAACTTATCCAATCTCACCAAACCCCTCAACATTTGAAGATCATTTAAATTATGGTAGGACTCAATGGTAGATAAAGCTAAACCATTTTTGGCAAGCCAGTTAGTACAATAATTCTCTTCTCTTCAAATATGAGTAATCACATAATCAAATTGATTAACACATTGTTTAATGATCCTAAAAATATAGTGAAGAGAAGCATTGTTACAATTATTCAAAACAATTAAATTAACCAATAACAAAAAATCAAATTCAATCCAAAACTTTTGAATGTGGTGGGCCAGACAAAATTTCAGACCCAAAAGCAAGGCCTTGGCGTCCGCAACAATAGCTTTGCATGAAGGAATCAAAGCAAAAAAAAGTAACAAAGAAATCACCTTGATGATCTCTAACAATACTACAATAACTAGCCGTAGATTTAGAAACGGAGCCATCAATGTTTAATTTAAACTGATTCAAGAAGGGCTTCTTCCAAAAGATTATTTTGGAAGGCAAGTCATTGTTTTCCAAGTCAAAAGAGACTTGGAAAAAGGAAAGCCATCTCATATTCCCATTAAAATGTTTAAAACAGAGTAATTTGTGAGCAACAAGTTGGTGAATTTTATGCTTAAGGCCAATGATAATTCTTTCAAAACTCATCTTGATGCAAATATGTTTGCAATTATTTCTTTTTATGCAAAGTAGCCAAAAAATAATCCTAGGAACCACAATGGAGATATGACCAACAGCTTTTTTGTGAAACCAATAAGTAAGAATAGAAAGACAATTAGTGTTAGAAAGGTTAGGTGCATTTGATAGTGTGATATGTAAATTTGGATTACAAATCACAAGGAATTTTCCTTCAACTTTTATGTGTTCAAGTAGAAGAGTCCATTCCTCCAACTTAGGTCGGAAGGATGAAAGGAAGATGTAATAGAAGATTTTGTAGCTTTAGGGATACAAATCAAAAGAAGGATCTCTTTGAAATTCTTTTGTATTCAAAAATGATAATTCATTTGTTTGACTTGGGTTAAACAAATGATAGGAGTTATGATTTTGATTTCTATGTTTGGTGGCAAGAGGAGTCACCGATTAATATTGGCTCAATACTACTACAACAACAACAACAGCATCAACAGCAACAACAAGCTTTTATCCCACTATGTGGGGTCGGCTACATGAATTTTTTCTCCATTGTGTCATGGTAAGGGTCAAATTCTCATCTAAATCTAATAAAGAAAGGTCATTTCTAGTATTTTCTAACCAAGTCTTTTTAGGTATACCACTACCTTTCTTAATATAAGTCAAATCTAATACATCTACTTTCTTAATCGGGTCATCATAAGGTTTTCATTTTATGTGATCGATATTAACTAAAAAGGTGAGGAAAATTTGTAACTTTGAGATTACAAATCAAGAGTTATCATTGAACTTTATGTTCAATGATGGATGCTTGGTTTGCTAAATATGGGTATAACAAACATAAGAGGGTGATACATAGGTTTGAGCAACAAAACGTATGGAGTTCCTTTGAACTTTTGGGCATTCAAAGGAGAGAGTTCGCTCTCCTAATTTAGATTAGGAGAATGAGAGGGAAGCATGATTGGACTTCCTATGCTCAGCTATAACTCTCATAAATTGCTTGAAAGTCATTTGGAAACTTTCATGTAGGTTTAGAGAAGCAACAAGCAAGGAGGTGGGACGATTTCCTATGTATTTTTAGGCTAAGGAAAATGAGAGGTTTTCCAACAATTCTAGGCTTATAGGAAAGAGGAGAGAAGATGCAACTTATAGGTTGCAAATTCATGAATGTTTCTTAAGCATTTGATGTTCAAAGGGAGCTGTTTATTTGCCTAATTTGAGGCTAGGCAAATGAGAGGGAAGAACTTAAGATTTGGTCCCAAGTTCAAGCGTTTGCATGATGATGTATTTAGGATTTTAGAAAAATCCACAACATCATGCATGGAAATGATTAGTGATGGCTCCTAAGGTATGCTAGGAGTCATGCAATGAAACATTTGAAGCCTTCAGGAAGCTCCAAAAATCATGCATGAAGGAGAGAGATTATTGTTTTTTTGATTTTGTGTCTTAACAAAACAAGGGATGGATGGCTAAGAATTTATTTCTAAGATCCAATGACTCGTATAATGATGTTGCTTGGAACCTTTGGAGGTTTCAAATTGTCATACATGAGGGAAAAGAGCATTTGAAAGAGAGCTCTCTAGATTTTGGAAGTGTTTTGGACTCATGATGGGGAGGGAAGATTATTTCCTACAACTTCTAAGAGTTTTTAAAATCAATTTTGGTATGATTTAAAGAACCAAGAAATGCGTGCATGTGATTTATCATTTTTTAGGAGTTTGATCATATGTTTAAACTACTTGTCGTTGCCCTTAACCAATCAACTCGCAGACTACATGAAACATATTTATTAAATTCTAATATGTGGTGGGGTGTAGTCTGGGAGCACTTTAGAGCCATAGAACACTCCATGATTGCTTTATAGCATTTATAAATTTAGTGAACATATTTACGATTTTGTGAATTTTGGATATGCAATAATCATAGCAAGTGACATATAACATGCATTTGATTTATGATGAGTTAGGAAACACATACTCAAAATTTGGAAGGATATTTCCAATCAATATTGGCATGATTGGTGCATTGAAAATGCGAGTGCGAGTTTCCAATGTTAAGGATTTTGTAAATTGGAGGTGTTGATTTGTTATTATTTCCATAAGCTTTATAAAACATTCAAAATGGATTTCAGGAGCTCCACTAACCTCATAATTTGCAACACAAACCTTTGGGATTCATGTCAAATCCTACAACCAACATGCTAACTGCTTAATCCCAATAAAATACATTTTGAGTATTCACCAAAGTCATGGAAAAATCCACAAATTTCATTAAATACTAGCTCCTACACTTGTGCATTATTTTTGTCATAACACACAACTCCAAGAGATAGAACATAGCATGCAATATTGTGGAAGTCTACACCTCGACATTTGATTCATTGTCATATAAAATCACATAACCTAGGGTTTGATCATAGATGACGGTGTTGGGTTCAATATGAGTGCAAATACATGCATTTGGGAGGTTTTAGATATTAATCCAACGCCCCAACGCACAACAACGTCCTCTTTTGGCTCTCACATGAGCAGTTTGATGAAAATTGTTGGATTTCCACAAATTTGCTAGAAGGACTGCGAGTTCTTGGGTTTGGAAATTAATTGCAAGGGTTTCTAAGGCCCTAAAGGGATTTTG